TCAAGACCTCGTTATCAGCGTTTATGCTGATATCGGCGATTGTGTGTTGTAACCTCGACGCTTACGTCATGATCGGAGACTTTCATATCATCAAAAGTAAGCTGATTATCTATATTTGTATTATTACCACATCTTTCGCCATGATATTTTAAACGTCTTACGAACTCACGCGATAATTATGCGTGGATAAAGTTCATCTGCCGCTATTCAGACCGCGTTTATGTCACGGTGTTTCATACGTTGCATTCAACAGAACCCGCTTCCCCTTTCAACGTGGGCCAAAATGCGTTGTTCCTTGGATACAAATACATTCAATTCCTTTCGGGAGCGGAAATACTGAAACTTGATATTTCGATAATTCTCTCCGCAATACGACGGGGTATTTCCACGAATGTAATTTCTGTATGTCTACAGAGAACAATCCATAACATTTGAAATTTGAAGATACAAGAAGGTATTAGAGAGAAAATATAGCTTTCAGGAAACTTATCAAATTAATAATAATTCATTATTTTTAATAAAATAAAATTACTTTTTAAATAAAAATGTAAATACATTACGCAAGTTGAACAACATATTTATTAAAGTTCTTCAGGTTACTTATTATCATTTTATGATGCAAGAATGATTGAGGGGGAATAAATAAGAGACAGGAGGACAACAGTAGAGATTGCATTTTTCATCTGTATTTATGTAATATAATCAAGTGCAATCTATTAACAATCTTGAAAACATGACGTCATTAACGTCTTTCGATCGTGCTAAAGATAATGGAAGTAGAATGTTTAGAACGGAACGTGAAATAATTTATTTGGTCGCGATCGCGATCGTGAAATAAGCTTAACATTACAAAAAAAAATAAAGTTAGTTTTAGGAGGATACTCGAATACGAATCAAGTCCGTTCTTTCGCGTTTCCACGAAAATAATCATTGAACAAACTCGAGAAGCATTCGCGTAACATTTCCTCAAATTCCCGACACCGATATTTATTGCGCGAGACAATTCGTTTAAACGTAAATTTTCTGAAAAATAGATCATATTTCCGTTATGATTTTTAATAAAAATATTCAAGATCTATTAAATAAATATACAAGGTACATGAATCTAATTTATCTTCTCACTTTTCTTTTGATTAAAATGTGTTTTCTTGATTAAAATTTACAAAAATATATTTCTTTTTTTTGCAGGATTATTCAAAGGTTTACTTTATTATTTATTTATTTTTTTTTTGCGAGATTAGAATTCACCGTTTGGTAAATTCAAAGTTCCGAAAAGGAAATTGCGTACGGTATTAATGTTTGATATCTCATACGTGACATCGCGCTTCGAAGACGAACGCTTTTATGTCCCACGGGACGTTTTCTACGGCACCGACATGATTATCACTTCGCCTCGGGCAGATTAGTTGCCAAGACTCTGAATCCATTGTGATCGGCGATGTAATGCACCTGCTGAAGAATCCCGTTGGGGTCGATGTAACTGTAGGCTCCCCTGGTGGTACCGTCGAGCGACCTGGATTCGGTTTTCGCGCTCGAGTCTCCGGTGTAACTATAATCGTATTGGCCCAGGGAGTCCTGAGTGTGATGCAGCGAGCTGTGAAGGAATCTGTAAGGCAACACTGGAAATACGTAGGGTGCGGGCACGGCTAACCGTTTCTGGATGTTGCCGAGGGACACCAGCTTCCCCAGCTGCAAGCCACTCCGAGATGTCGTCCGTTCGTCGTTCTTAGGAAGAAGCGTGTTCTCCCTTAATGACGTTGGGGTAGGTAACGACGAAGCGATGGTGGTGGCGGTGCTGGTGCTCGAAGGCACATGCGATACCTTCGAGAGACTCGGATCTGGCTTGGGAACGTTGATTTTCTCTGCCTCTGACTTTGACAGTAGGAACGGATTTTGAGTATCCTAAAAAAAAGAATCGAATAAAAGAAATCTTTTATTTCAACACTTTTTATTTCATAGGAAATTATTTTAATATAATATATTCCGAAACTGAAATGCCATTCTAAATGTCATTTTGCAAAATTTGCTTTAGATTCTGCTATGCAAAACGTTAAATGATAACAAAATAACAAAAAATACAATATATGTATACAATATATGTATATATTCTATTCATCACGGTTTGGTATCCAGTAATCAGTAAAATTGTACTATTTTAAAATAATATGAAAAATTGTATACATATATTTTTATTGTTTACTTTATATTTGTAATAAAAATGTTCTGTTATTTTATCAATCAAACTAGTATTTAACAATTTTCAATAATCACAGCTCTATAAATTTTATATATGTCTAAAAGATCGTGTAATTTTTCCAATCACATTTCTAATCTTCATTGGAAATGTCCGCGAAGAATACACACTTCTATTTCTCGCGTTTTCAAATTTGGTTCGGTTTTGCTGTTCTCGTCCGGCTGGATTTGAGCAAAACTGAAGTACGACGGCACGATTTTGTACGACAGCAGATTCTGATCCTGCCAATTGGCCTGATGAGAGTTTTGCAACTCCTCGAGATGATTTCGCTTTGCCGCGGCCACTTCCGGCGTGTCCTGTATAGTTTGCAGCTCATCCTTAGGCGATTGCGGTAGATTGCTCGCGCTGACCCTAAATCCGTTCTTATCGTCCGCGGTGTACGAGACCGTTTGCAAAATTCCATTTGCATCGATGTAGGAATATCCTGAGGGCATAAATGGAAATATTCGACAACGGTGCCATTATATCATCCGGGAAAAGCTTGTTTGCGCGGAGGAAGGTAATTATGATATTAAATTATTGCGTCTATTACCGTAATACGTTACTCGCCGTAATTATTGTTGCTATTGATTTGCACTTAAAATAACACTAATTAGGAAGATCTTGCGTTTGATGATTACGTATACATTCATACAATTTCGCGCGCGTTATATTATGCGTCGCGCGCGTGTCGTGAGTCATCACGTCGCAATTGAGAGAGAAGCAATTCCAACGCGCAACCGCGCATTGTCATCCGAGGGAATTTGCAGGGAGACGAGCATGCGGCATATGGGCGTCTTTCTTGCATCATGCCAGCGAGCATTAGCGAAAGATTCACTCGCGAACGTAGGTCGGTAATGCACCTCTTGTAACACACTTCGCAAAAGAATGCATCCCATTTATGCACTTGCAGCACGCGCATTAGATCACGAAAGCGAATCGTGACAAGCATTACCGTTCGCTGCAGATAAATTTTGCTTTACGTTTACGTGGATGGAAGGATGCTTCGGCTTCGGTGTGGTCTTTATCGATCGCGTGACTTCTTATATGAAAAAAAAAAACACTGAGCCCTCTATATATATAATTAAAATAAAAAATACTTACCACCCTGCGTAATACCGTTCAAGGTGGACTCCGCTTTGGCATGATGGGGTCCAGTAAAGGAATATTGATAAGATCCCGATCCGTCTTGTATGTGGTATTGCCTTAACGGCGAAAGAGCCGGTATCGGACTCAGCCAAACATTGGCGAGCGGCGAAGCGATGGCTCGTCCGATGACGAGGCTACATAAAATCGTCTGCGGGCGGAAAGAATTAATGACAAGAATTAATTATACGTTATTGAACTGTTATTGACATATTAGCGATAAATATATATAGCTTTAATTGAAAATACATATGATAAGCTAGCGAAAAACTGTCATTAGTGAAACTAATTAATATTCACTAATTTAATACATTCCACCGCCAAGCATATTTCAAATATCTTTCTATTTACACAATGCATTTCTGTAATAGGAAAAATAATAAAGAAATAAATACGAGATATAAAAGACGGATATTAATGAAATTATTTTTGTTGTATTGATTACCTTAAAATTGATTTTAATGCAAAAACTGTGAATTTTGATTTAGAAGCACCGAGTATTTTATTTTATGCTTATGTTTACATTATGGCATAAATTGTTAAATTATATGCTATGATAAAAGTTGAAAAATTTCTCATGACTCGTGTCAAGATCATAATAACATCAATATGTTAAGGTATTTATTCTAAACAGTTTGTCTTAAGGGTTCCATTCCGCAGATGAGATACGTCTCGTCATCGAGCAACTACATTTATTAACCGATTAATTAAAATGCATCAGCTGCAACAGTTACGCAGGCGCGAGTATACGATTGTCATTACACGACAGGCATCATTTTCTACACAGGAGATTGCCATTTAGGCAGACACACGCGATAGCATTAACAGTGACAGTTACACGGATATGAAGGAAGACTGCACCGCTCGTCTCGCGATGAGTGGCATAACTTTCATCGATCGCGGAAATTCAGCTCGATTACTCGGAACAGCCATGGTTTCCTGGTACAATCAAGCTGCATTTATTATAAGGTTTTTCCGCAGAACAAAACATCATTCCTCGAATCGCGAGCGAGACCAGAACTTCGATCGGGCGAACCACGACAACTATGTAGTTGTAGTCTCGCAGTTCGGCCAAATCAATAGTTATTATCCGACGATATTGAGTTAGATGTTCGCATTGAAATGCTAGTACACAGGGGCGATTATTGACGTGTTAACACGGGTTCTGCCTCAAAATACGCCCGGATAACTAAATAATTGTAAAATCGATGCGGCCGCGAATATGTCGCGAGTATATCTCTTTTCTTTCTCTCATCTTTCACATCGGAAGATTTTCACGGATATGCAGTAAATTGAATTATAAAACTTTCCTTTCACCTCAGTCCTCGTTTGTCAAACGCGGGTAAAATGCCAAAAGTTTATTTCTATATCATGAAAACACACGACGAAACTGAATTAGAAACGCCCACGAGTGAGACAAACTGTAAACTATCTTAGGATTAATTACAAATTGGTCGAGAGAACATGACTAAAAAGAGAACCTGGCGGCACAAGGATGCTAACTACAAATTATATCAATTCGCCATCGATCTCGTCGGATTATTTAGCGTGCGCAGAAAATCTCGGCGCGAAAGAAATAAACTATCGAAATTAGAAATTCACTCACGAGTATCATGATCGTCCTCGGTTGGATCAGGCCGCCGATGAACCGTCGCTCGATCGTGGTTAGCGGATCGGGCCCCTCGATCGCGGCTTTTCTTTCTTTTTTTTTTTTCACTCGCCTAGGATAATCCCGGTGAGAGTCGGCTAACGGGTGTGAGAGTGTAAGCTCTCGGTCGCATCCTCTTATATAGGAGTGGACTTACCGCCGCGCACTTACGGTGGTTCCCCACTCGGCGTCGCGCGCGACGGGGCCCTAGCGAGGCCCTACGGGGCACGGGATCGTGCTCACGGGGCCCCAAGTGCCTCATCGTTGCCCACGAGTCGCAAATCACCCCGCGCTCGATTTCCAGACCGATAAATCAACATTTATTGGTCCCACATTTATTGGTGGGTACGAGCCGTCGATCTTTCGCACATTCCGAGCACCGAACGGCATCCGCCGAGGATGCGCGCTTTTCGACGGCTCCCCGTGTAATAAGGATGCAAGCGCGAGCGTATTAATGGCGACGCGATGAATTCACGCAGGCCGGAATTTTAAATCTCCTCCTCGCGGTGGGTATCGGGTGCACTTTATTCGTGACAGCAGCGTATTGATATCGTTTAAGGAGATATAAAGATTATTTTACGACAAGCAAGTTCGAATATAGGATGGGATGACGGTATTGCTAAAGGATCTAAAAATTTGATCGGATATAAGATCTGAAAATAAGGTTTTTTGTTGAGTCATCAAAATAATGTAGAACGTTCAAATTGGTTGCTAAAATGAAATATTACTAAAAAATTTTGCAGTTTTATCATCATGCTCAAACATTTTACGTAATAATTTTGACGTTTCAAACAAAGTTATTTTCAGATCTATATCTAGCCAAATTTTTAGATACTCCAATAAAACCATTTTTTTCGTATATGGATGTCCATTTTATTTATTTATTGTATGTTATATATTTATTTTTTTATTTTAAGAACCTTTTTAAAGTTGATTTTCTAGTTGATTTTCTAAAAATATATGGGAATTAATATAAATTGTTTCATTCACAATTGTATAAATTATTTCTGTTAATGTAACTGTAAATTTAAGTGAATTATCTGTACTAACATTAATAGCATTGTCTTTGTAAAGCGTTTTATTTAATTTACTTCAACAGGTTTTCAATGTTCAACGCTGTTTAAAATTGAGATTGACATTTTTCTAGAATGATTGCTTTATTGTTGCTGATAATATGTTAAATTTATTTAAAAATTTATTATTATCATTAATAATATTCATTACTCGTAATCGAAAACGTATGTATAATTAATACAGTGTATCGCTTACACGAATAATCTTCATTATCTCTAATCATATTATTGTTAGTTACATCGCATTTATCAACAACAATCAAAATAAACTGCATTAATGCCGAAATCGCAAATGTACGTATCATTATGAGCTGCAAAATAACATTGGAGGATAGGCAGTGGACGGAAAAAAAAGTTTCGCACATACCAATGCAAATATACGGTCATTGCACAATGTCACATACACAGAGCTGAGATAAATTTCTTCCAAGACATGCAGATTATGTACCCTTCGAATCAAATTACATATTCAAATATTAGACTGTCTCGATGATGAATAACAATCGATAAAAATTTAATCGATAGTCAAAATTACGAAATAACGGTTTTACTAAAATATCCAAAAATTTAGCTATATATAAACTTGAAAATAATTTTGTTGAATTATCAAAATAATTATATAAGATACTTAAGTATGATGATAATATAATGCAAAAAATTTTTTTATATTTGAGCAATATTTTATTTTGATAACCCTAGAAAATTATTTTCAAATCAGTATTTGGTCAAATTTGTAAAATACTTCAGCAAAACTATTCTTCCACATATAAATAATACATACATT